TCAAAGAAGTGTATCATGGGTAAAGTTAAAAGAGGGAGAGAATAGTCTCAATATCTGAAACTGATGGGACTAATAGCTGAACTATATAAGGAACTCCAGCAAATCAACAGGAAAGAGGGATCTCAATAGAAAAATATGGGCCAACTATACAATCCGGCAATTTATACAGGTGTTTAACATGCATATGAAGAGATCTCAAAAATTCATTAGTAATTAGAGAAATGCAAACTAAAATAAAATATCACTCTATATCTGTTAGACTGGCAAAAACTAGAAATCTGGAAGATGTCACGTGTTAGTGAGGATGTAGAGATATAGGAATCCTCGTACACAGATGGTAAAACTGGACTGGTGTCGCCATCTCAGAGAACCATCTAGCAGTACTAGTGTTCTTAGACTAAGTATGTGTACACTTTAAAAAATATTTTTATTGATTTCACAGAGGAAGGGAGAGGGAGAGAGAGATAGAAACATCCATGATGAGAGAGAATCATTGATCGGCTGCCTCCTGAACACCCCTACTGGGGATCAAGCCCGCAACCCAGGGAAGGGACCCTTAACCAGAATCGAACCTGGGACCCTTCAGTCCACAGGCCAAACTGACTAGGGCTGTGCATACTTTATGATGCAATCATTTTCTTCCTGGGTTTGTGTGCCAAAGGAAATTCTCATATAGGCCATTAAGGGGACACGAACAGGACTTTGCATCACAGTATTATTTGTGGTATCTGGTAGCTAGAAGTAATTTTGCTGTCAGTCATTATGGGAATATTCAGGAAAATGTGGTGAAGGCACACTGTGGTTAGTTATCATGGGCAGACAGGAGCAACAGATTCGATGTATGCATAGCAATGTGGACAGACTTTGAAAACACATGGCTGAATGAAAAAAGTGAGAAACTTAATGAGATACCATTTATATAAAATACAATTGCACACACACAAAGCATCCTTCAGCGTGGGACAACCTGATGTTATGTACCTCCTGAGGTGACAGTATGAAGTAAAAATAATATCCCTTATGTACTCTTATTGCTGAAAATATTTAATCTGAATTTAACCATGTGGAAAGAGCAGATAAATCCAGAATGGGGGGCAGTTTACAAGAAACATCAAAAATATCAGTAGTCTTAGCCAGTGTTGCTCAGTGGATAGAGCCCTCGCACTGAGGGGTCCTGGGTTTGATTCTGGTCATGGGCATGTACCTTGTTTGCTAGCTTGACCTCCAGTAGGGGGGTTCAGGGGCCAGCTGGTAGAAGTTTCTCTCTCATCGATGTTTCCAACTCTATTATCTTCCTTCCTCTCTGGAAAAATCAATTTTATTTGAAAAAAAATCAGTGTTAATATAAAACACACAAAAAATACAGGGGTAATTGTTCTAGACTGTAAAGGTTAAAGCAATACAACCACCACACATAATGCATAAACCTTGATTAGATCATTGGATTAAAAATAAGAGCAGGTCTAAAAACATTTTGGGTACAACTGGAAAATTTGAATATAGGGCATTTTTTATTGTATTATTGAGTTACTGTATTTTCTTAGGTGTAGTTATGTTATTGTGGTTATGTAGGAGAATGTCCTTATTCTAATAGAAGTGTGCTAAAGAATTTAGGGTTGAAGTGTTATACTGCCTGCAACTTTCAATTGGTTCATTAAATGAGAAATGCATACATACACATATCAATAGAAGTAGAGCAAATTTTGCAAAACATTAAGGGTAAATGGGCTTTCATTGTACTATTCTTTCAGCTGTTTCGAATTTTGAAAAATTGAAAAATAAAGATTTGGGGGAAATGCTTGCCCATAAAACATCCGTGCATACATTGCAAGAACACATATATCGATACACAAAAGAGAAGCATAATATACTTTAGAATTTTTGTGTACATTAGGGAAATAAGAGTGGAAAGTAGAGATGAAAATGAGTTAAACAATAGCAAAAACCTCCCAAAAGTGATAGATAATCATTGAATATGTGAAAACACAGAAAGGCACAATGAACAAAACTAAATTCACGGATATTCTCATTTTCTCTGTCAGTAGTTCTTAAAATGTAGCACCTGGACTAGTGGCAACTTTATCACCATCACCATCACCATCACCATCATCATCATCGCTTGGGAACTTGTTAGAAATGCAAATTCCTCGAACTGACTGGATTGGCTCAGTGGATAGAGCGTTGGCCTTGGACTGAAGGGTACCCGGGTTTGATTCTGGTCAAGGGCATGTACCTTGGTTGCGGGCACATTCCCAGTGCGAGGTGTGCAGGAGGCAGCTGATCCATGATTCTCTCTTATCATGGATGTTTCTATCTCTCTCTCCCTTCCTGAGTTTAATAAAAAAAATATATAAAAAGAGGTAATCACCATTCTGTATTTGGTATTTACTTCCCTTGTTTTAAAAACATTTATAGTTTTATGTAATCTATAAACAACAGTGCATTGTTTTCTAGATTTAAAACATCTACATGAATAGATGGTCTCATACTTCATGTATCCTTTTACAACTTGTATTTTATTTCAGCATTTGTTTTTGAAATTTATCTGGGCTGATACATGCAATGCTGGTTAATTTTTCACTGCTGTATAATATTCCATTATAGGCTGTACCACCATTTATTTTCTCATTCTCCTGTTGAACTTTTAGATACATATATTTTCTCTATTACAAACAGCTCTGCAATGGATATTCTTGAACATGCCTCCTTATGCATAAGAATTTCTCTAGGACGGAAAAGTCTAGGGGATGGATATACATTTATATACACACATGTACATCTATGATAGTGGAATTTTTTTCTTATAGTTTGTTCATTTGAAACTTTGTTTAAAAAGTTCATACCTGGGCTTTGGCCGGGTAGCTCATTTGGTTAGAGTGTTGTCCAGATACACCAAGGTTGCAGGTTCCATTCCAGGTCAGGACACATACAAGAATCAACCAATGAATGCATAAATAAGTGAAACAACACATCGATGTTTCTTTCTCTCCCTCCCTCCCTCCCTCTAAAATCAATTTTAAAAAAAGCCTATACCTGTCTTAGGTGACAAAAATATTTCCTGCACTCTCATAGGGAAATAAATAGGTATCCAGTTTTATTTTTCTCCTTATGGTGAGCCAAATTTCCCAATGCTATCTACCAAAATGTCCATTCCCATTGATTTTTGGTACAGGCTTAAATTTCACCCACTTAACAAACATTTGCCCAAGCCTGCTTGTACCAGTCTTGTTCAGGATTCGAAGATATATGACCCATAGCGTGTGGCGATATACCCAGTAAATAATAACAGTAGTAAGTGATATGTGTGACAGTGTCCTGGGTTTCTAACTCAGGTTTCTAACTTAGACATGACAAGGGTTAGGTATTAAAGAAACAGCAAGGATTTGCTAATGCTAGGCTAAAGGTGAAGGTGGCCAGGGTCCAGAGGAATTTTGCGTGTGTCTAGGGTGAGACATTAGAATCCTTCCATGATGTAGGGCAGGGGTGGGGAACGTCCAGCTTGCAGGCCCTACCTCCTATAAGGCCCTCGAAATCATCGGGTCTGGCCCTGCCAAGGCATTAGGGGTGAGTTAATGAAATGTTTGACCAAATAAAGCAGGCTCATTTTTTAAGTTGATAATTTCAACTTACCCTGTTTCCCCAAAAATAAGACAGTGTCTTATATTAATTTTTGCTCCCAAAGATGTGCTAGATCTTATTTTCAGGGGATGTCTTATTTTTCCATGAAGACGAATATGGTACACATTTATTGTTAAATGAAAATAAAGGAAATTACCTGTATACAGTATGGTAGCACGGTAGTTGTCAACACAAACCAGACAAACTGTGAATCCTACAGTATCAAGAATTTACTCATTTATTCAATGACAATCATGTCATCATCTTCTGGAACATCATCATAACAATCCAATTCCTGAATTTCCTGGTGAATTTCTTGTGACTCCATTTCTTTCAGAATCAGTGGACCAAATCTCTCATGTTTAGCCTGGGGGGGGTGGGGCTTATTTTCGGGGGATGCTTTATATTTCACTCAGAAGGAAACCTGTAAGAAGGTCTTATTTTCGGAGGATGTCTTATTTTCGAGGAAACACAGTAAATGATGTTGTAAATATCCAAATGGCCCTTGGCAGGAAAAAGGGTTCCCACCCTTGCTAAGGGCAGGGAGTCCTGTGTGTGTAAGTAGTGGGACCAGGCAGAGGTCATTTTCTGCCTGGATTTGGTGGAGGTGGAGAAACATACCCCCAAGTTTATGCTAGAGGAAGAGGAGGGGCCGCAATTCAATGGTCAGAAGACATTTTCAGAGTGATATTTACGTTTTTTTAGGGGGAGACCTCGTTCTCCAGCCAGGTCAGGAGCGCCTCCAGTTTCTGGAGAAACCCTAACCTGCCCCCACTCGAGTTATAAATTAATGAATTCTGCAGACACGGCTCCTGGGTCTGAGGGAAGCGGGGGGAAGGAGAAGAAGAGGGCAAACGGGTGGGAGAGGCTTCCAGTTGTTTAGGTCTCGGGCCTGGCCATGGATCTTAGCTTTTGCAGACAGAGCTGGCCATGGCTGCCAACGGATCCGTCCGGGCCCTACAAGCCTGGGAGGTTGCTGCAAACAGCTAACCAAGCCGCTCCAGGTGGGGAAATACTCGGCAAGACATGTGACTCAGGCGGCCATTTTCTCACACCCTGCTCGTCGCCATCTTCCACTGTAGACAAAGGTACGGCTCCCCACCCTCGTCGGAGGCAGCCCTGCTTCTCGCCGGGCCTTCGCGTTTCGGGGACACGCCTTGGCTGAGGACAGCGGGGAAAATCCGGGCTCCCACGTTGCCGCCGCGAACCCCGCCCGCCATCCCCTCCCGCGCCCCCTCCTCTCCACCTCGGCCTGTTTCCTTTCCCTTCCGGGCCGCCGGGGGGCGGGGCCACCGCGGCTGCGGGGCAGGGACGGGCGGGCGCGAGCTGTCAATCCGAAGCCCCGCCCCTCGCGGCGCACGGTGGGCGGAGCTGGAGGCGGGAGCCTGGGAACCGGAAGTCGGCACCCGGCGGCGCGAGCGCAGCCTCTGGGCCAACTGCGTTGTCTTTCCAGCCTCTCCTCGCTGCTCCCCGCCGGAAGTGGAGGTAAGGGACGACTCTCTGTTTTCCGCGCTGAGCACGCGCCCAGCCTTCCGCGCGGTAAGGGTTGATGTGTGAGGGGAAGCAAGAGGTGCCCTCCGCCCAGGAATAGGGAGGTAAAGAGCCGGCTGCCTTCCAGGGTGAAGGGCCCGGATGAAGTCAGTGATCGCTGTGCACGTGGACAGGCGCCCAATGCACTCCTGCGGCGCAGAGGGGCACGGCCCCACCCCGTTTAGACAGCGCAGACCCGGTACACACTGTAGACCCTAAAAGCCTTTTTAATGTCGCGACCCACAGGTTGAGAACCGCTGCTGTAGAGCCTAAGACCATCGGGAAACCAGATATTTACATCACGATTCGAAACAGTAGCAAAATTACAGTTATGAAGTAGCAACAAAAATAATGTTACGGTTGGGGGTCACCACAACATGAGGAACTGTATTAAAGGGTCGCGGCATTAGAAAGGTTGAGAACCACTGTATAGAGTCATAGACTCCTCCCTTCATGACAGTGAGGCTCCAGTCCGCACTCTCCTGGTGTCTGCCTCCTGCCCCAAGGTGTGGCGCCATCACCCCTGTAGAGACCTCCCTGGGCTGACCGGTGCTGGCCTCTATGGGCACCAAGGCACACAGATCCGCCTCCACGCACCTCTTCTCTTAGGACAGGGACTTTGATATCCCTCCTACGCCCGCCCGATCACCAGTGAAGTGGAACTTAATATACCGAGTGGGAGAACAGTCCTTCCCGTTGTGTCAAGACCTAGAGACCCCCAAGCTTCGGTCTGGTGTAGCTAATTGATGGAAGCCCCGCCCCCACTCCTGCAGAGATTGTAGATCACCCCTTTCCAAGTGATGGAAGGCACAAGGCTCAGGCTAAGGGGAACCGAACTGGGCAGATTTCCTCCACCTAGGCTAGCGTGAGTACCCACTGTGGAAAATTCAGACCACTCTTGAAGGAGGTGCCGATTTACTGAATCTGTGAGGACCCCAAAAATGCCCCACAGCAAACTGTAATAGACCTTACCCCACAAAGGCTGTCAGATCTGTCTCTTGTGGGGCTCCCAGCCTAGAGGGGTTTAGATTTGTTCTCCTTTTAAGGTAGACAGAGATCAACCCCCCCCCCCCCCCAAGGATTTAGAATCATCAAATGTAGCAAGAAGAGCCTCAAAGGGAACAGAGTTACCCCCCTTTTAAAAAAGAGAGGAAGAGAGAGGGATAGAGAGTTAGACACATCAATGAGAGAGAATCATCGATCAGCTGTCTCTTGCATACCCCTACTGGGGATGTGCCCACAACCAAGGTACAGGCCCCCGACCTTAATTGAACCCGGAACCTTTCAGTCCGCAGGCGGACGCTCTATCCACTGAGCCAAACCGGTTTCGGCAGAGCTCCCCTTCACTGCAGTGTTGAGAGGCAATGACACCACTGATTGATCACCCACAGTTCCTGCATACGGGCTCCCCACTTACCCAAGGTAGAGGAGCATAATTTCTCTCCATCCAGGGGGAAAACACAGGACCACCCAAGTTTAAAACACAGGAACACCCTCTGCCCCCCAAGAATAAAGGCCAGTGCACAGAATTTATAGCTGGGTTGCCAACCCCCTGCTGGGAAACAGATGTCCTGTTCCCTTCAATGCTACCTTGTTTCCCCAAAAATAAGACAGTGTCTTACATTAATTTTTTCTCCCGAAGTTGCGCTAGGTCTTATTTTCAGGGGATGTCTTATCTTTCCATGCCCTAGGTCTTATTTTCGGAGGATGTCTTATTTTCGGGGAAACATGGTAGTACACTGGTAAATAGATCTTCCCCATTCCATCTCCCATGGAAGGGTCTGGAATAGCCCACAGCACGCAAGGTGTAGACCCCACTCATGCAAAGCAGCATAAACCCCCCCTTTGTTAGCGTGGCACTAATGTTACCTTGTAGCGAACAGAGGCATATCAGTCCTATCCCACAGACCACCCCCGGGAAAGAGGCCTAGGACCACCCTTTGTATAACTTAGATCACCTGTGTCAAACACAAGGCCCGCGGGCCAAATCCGTCCCGCCAGGCCTTGCAATGTGGCCCGCACCGCGCTGTCATCATTGCACTCCGCTGCATTTCCATCACAATGACAGTTTATGACTTTTCAGTAAACCATTCGGCCCGCGATTTAGGCTGGATTTTAGATTTTGGCCCCTTCTCTGATTGAGTTCGACACCCCTAACTTAGATGATCAGACCTATCCTCCCCCAGGCAGTAGAGATACACACAGCCACGGTACCAGTTTCCCCAGTTCCTCTGCACCCAGGAGTCGAGGGACAGAAAGCATTCTGTCCCCCCCAGTCACCAAGAAACAGACCCTAACCACACATGCAGGCACAGGTTTTTTCCCCTCCCCCAAGGTTGTGCACTGATCTCGGTCCGCATACATACATAAAAAACCCTATTCTGGGGTCCCTTTTCCTGGAATTTGTCTTTCCCAACATGCTTAGATAGATGAGACCCAGAACACCCTGTACTTGGGAAAGGAAGTACTGTATTTTTCGGACCATAAGACGCTCCGGACCATAAGACGCACCAGTTTTTAGAGAAGGGAAATGAAGAAAAAAAGATTCTGAAGCAAATAGTGTCCTAAAATATTTTATGTGCATTAAAACCCAACATCACAGTCATAAACACATGTAATCAACCCTGTAAAGTAAACAGCAGCATTTAGAACCATTTTAGAGCCGGGCAACCACACAGAGCCAGGCAAGTAAAAAAACTTTTTTTTAAAAGTATATGTGTAGGCTATATTTGGACCATAAGACGCAGGGACTTTCCCCCCCCACTTCTGGGGGAAAAAAAGTGCGTCTTATGGTCCGAAAAATACGGTACTGAAAAAAAACCTAATGTAGAGCTAGATTGTTCTTTTTTTTAAAAAAAAATATTTTATTGTTTTTTTGCAGAGAGCAAGAGAGAGGGATAGAGTTAGAAACATCAATGAGAGAGAAACACCAACCAGCTGCCTCCTGCACACCCCCCACTGGGGATGTGCCCGCAACCAAGATACATGCCCTTGACCGGAATCAAACCTGGGACCCTTGAGTCCCCAGGTCAATGCTGAGCCAAACCGGTTTTGGCTAGCTAGATTGTTCTTGCAACTCGGTGTAGAGATGCTTAGTGCCCCTCCCTTACCTACAGGGTGGAGAAGGAAGGACCAAGGACCCCATCCGATGCATTGTGACATTGACTGCCCCCAGAGAGAGGTTTAGACCGGGCCTCCTTTGGGGAGAGTGGCCTGCCTTCCCTGTGTGGACTCAGCCATGCCAGGCCCCAGCTCCAGTTCAGTCCCTTCTCCCAGTTCCTTATGAATTGTGAAGGCTTCCTGGTGTTCTTGAACGTTTTAGTTTTCCTTTGGGGGCGCTCAGAGGAGGCTTATGGCATTGTGGTTCCCCACTCCTGTCTTCAGATTGGTTCTGCTTCCATTCTGACAGAAAGCCTGCGGATTCGAACCCATCTCCTAAGCTGCTCATCATGATGAAACTTAGACACAGTGAGTTTCTTGGATCACCCCTCTCCATTCTAAATGATAGTGAATATTCATACTGTTTCATGGCAACTTTTAGAAATTGCCCATAATGTACCAGATCACTCTGAATGTCTTTTATATATGACACTAGAGGTCCGGTGCATAAGATTTGTGCACTGGTGGGGGGTTCCCTCAGCCCAGCCAGTGCCTTCTTGCAGTCCTGAACCCCTCCGGGGATGTCCCACTGATACTTAGGGAGCAGGCCTAAGCTGGCGGTCGGACATCCTTAGTGCTGCCACAGGCTTCCCACCTGGGGACAGCTCCTGCATTGAGCATCTGCCCCCTGATGGTCAGTGCATTTCACAGCGACCAGTCATTCTGTTGTTTGGTTGATTTGCAAAAATTTCGTACACTGGGGTGGGGGTGGGTGTCCCTCAGCCCAGCCTGCACCTCTCCAATCTGGGACCCTCTTGGGGGATGTCTGACAGGAAGAAAGTCTGCAGATTTGAACCTGTCTCCTAAGCTGCCCCGTGGGATCGAGCCTAAATAATCAGTTGGACATCCTTCTCACAATCCGGGACTGCCGGCTCCTAACCGCTCGCCTGCCTGCCTGCCTGCCTGCCTGCCTGCCTGCCTGATTGCTCCTAACTGCTTCTGCCTTCCAGCCAGCCTGATCACTCCCTAACCACTACCCTGCCGCCCTGATTAACACCTGCCTGCCCCCCTGCTGGCCCAATTGCCCCCAACTGCTCTCCCTTGCTGACCTGGTCTTTCCCAACTGCCCTCCCCTGCTGGTCTGATCTCACCCCCCATTGGAGAGGTGCCTGCCTCTACTGGCCAATTTGGTTCTGATTGGTCGGTTTCTATGTCAGTTAGTATCTCTGGGCCTATCAATGGGGCCTGATCAGAAAGACAGGGTTGATCAGCAGCCCCAGTGGAGGCTTGGAGAGAAATGGAAGTGCAGCTGCTGGCCAGGCCCAGAGAGAAAGAGAGAGGAAGAGAGAGAGGCAAGTGCTGATCAACAGCTGCCACAAAGGCTACGGATCAGACCTTGCTTCTCTCTTTAGGGCTCTCTCTGGGCCTGATTCGCAGCCCCCTCAGCAGTCAGTGCTGGGGCATAGCAGTAGCCATAGCAGTCAGTACTTGGTCGCCATGGCAACCCAGCACCAACTGCAGGACGGACTTCCGATTGGTCAGGCCCCCAGTCGTCATGGATGTGACAGACCCAGGGTTTTTATATATTAGGATCATTGTTGTCTCTCAACTTCCTTGTGAAGTAAGGCTCCCCTTATCTCCCATTCCCATTTTATAGATGAGAAACAGTCTCAGCAAAGTTAAGTGACTTGATCTGAGTTGAATAGTAGTAAATACTGTATCACACTGTCTGGAACACTAACATTTTCTTTTTTAAGTTGTACCTTTAAGTTGGTACCATATATTGTACCTGTGGCTAAGAGAATGGACTCTGGAGCCAGATTGAGTTTGAATCTTAGCTCTTCCACTTACTAGTTGTGTGGTCTTAGGCAAGAAACTTAACTTCAGTCTCTTTATTTACACAATGGGATAAGAAAAGTACTTACCTAATAGCATAATAGTATCTGCCTAGCTCTGGCCGGCATGGCTCAATTGGTTGGACCGTTATCCCCTACACCAAAAGGTGGCAGATTTGATTTCTGGTTAGGGCACATACCCAGATTGCACGTTCAATTCCCCATCAGGGTGCATATGGGAGGCGAGTGATCGATGTTTTTTCACTCTTTCTCTGGCCTCCTTTATCTTTCAAATCAATAAAAACATACCCTCAGGTGAGGATTAAAAAACAGTATCTCCCTAATAGTGTTTTTATGAGAATTTAATGGTTTAAAATAAGTAAGAGACTTAGCACAGGGTCTGGCCCTGTGGATAGCACACTGGATAGACTGGATGAGGATTGTACCACCCCAGGAGCCCCGTATTCTGTGAATGGAGGCCCTGCCTGTGTGGGGCGTGATGAAAAAAAAAGTCAATATGTTTACTTTATATAATCATAAAAAGTGTATGTTAATACCAAAAGCAAGTAATAATTTTTTTCAAGTAACACCAGAAAAATGAACAATATCAACTATATTTAAGAACATCAAATACCAGGTTATAATAAAATTATTGGTAATGATAAAGAAGATCATAATTAGCTAGTTAAGGAGTATATGCATACGAAAGAACCCTGGCAGTTTAAAATAATGCGGAAATAGTATATGGGAATACTGTATGGAAAGACTAGTGTGAGGAAAAACTATTAGATGGAAAGATCTCCAGGATTTAAGTGGAAAAGCAAGTTGCTGACAAGAGTATGTTACCTTTTTGGGAGAAAATAGGGGGAAATAAGAATATACACTGAGTGGCCAGTTTATTATGTGTCCAGAGATCATAATAATATGGCCACTCAGTGTGTATTTGCATTTGCATAAAGAAACTGAAGGATGCATGATAAACTCATGTAGTGGTTTCTTTTTAAAAAGTATTTTTTATTGATTTTTTTTTTTTTGAGAGAGAGAGAGAGAAAGGAAGGGAGAGAAGGGAGAAGGATAGAAAGATAGAAACAAAGATGAGAGAAACAGCAAAGGTTGGCTGCCTGCATACCCTCTTACTGGGGAACGAGCCTGCAACCGAGGCATGTGCCTTCACTGGTAATGGAACTGGTAGCCTCTTGGTTCATGGGTCAACGCTCAACCACTGAGCCACACCGGCCAGGCAGTGGTTTCTTTTTGTTGTTAATCCTCACTGGAGGATATTTTTTCCGTTGATTTTTAGAGAGAGCGGAGTGGGGAAGAGACGAGAGAGAAACATCAATGTGGGAGAGACCATCCATTGGTTGCCTTCTGCACACTCCATGACGGGCCAGGGATCCGAGCCTGCATCTGAGGTATGTGCTCTTGACTGGAATCAAATCCTCAACCCTTCAGTCCACGGGCCAACATTCTAACCACTGAGCAAAACCTGCTAGGGCAGTGGTCGACTAACTCATTAGTCAACAGAGCGACAAACCACAGCTTGCGAACTGCAGTTTGCTGACCACTGGGCTAGGGCATACAGTGGTTTTTTTTCTTTCTTTTTAAATACATTTTATTGATTTTTTTATAGAGAGGAAGGGAGAGAGATAGAGAGCTAGAAACATCGATGACAGAGAAACATCCATCAGCTGCCTCCTGCACACTCCTTACTGGGGATGTGCCCACAACCAAGGTACATGACCCTGACCGGAATCGAACCTGGGACCTTTCAGTCCGCAGGCTGACGCTCTGTCCACTGAGCCAAACGGGTTTCGGCAAGTGGTTTCTTATTACAGTGAGGGAACTAGAGTGGCTAGGGCCAAGGATGGATGGAAGGCCTCTCAAAGCGCACCTTATTTGGGAACGCTCTGACCTGTTTAAGAGCAATCATACACATTTATATTAGTGGGGGAAACGGTGAACATTATATTGAATAGAAACACTTCCCATGTGCACACAACACAAAGGCTTTCAGTGGTGAATTGCAACTGAAGTGTGTCATGAGTCACTGGGACGATTACAGTGGTAGGTGTGGGAATGCTGGGTAGTATAGCCAGAGCTACCATGGATTTAAATGGTAATCACAGTGATTAAATCTGGGAACGTTACTGAGGAGCCCTACAAAAAGTGTTCAGATACGGTTTCAACTGTTGTACGTTTTTTGTGTTTATGTTTTGTTTCTGTTGGACGTTTTTGAATGGTTAAGAAAAAGGAAGGTGCACCCAGCCTGGCTGGCTCAGTGGTTGAGCATCGACCTGTAAACCAGGAGGTCACAGTTCGATTCCTGGTCAAGGCATATGCCGGGTTGCAGGCTCCAATCCCAGTGGGGGGGTGTGCAGGAGACAGCTGACCAATGATTCTCTCTCATCATTGATGTTTCTCCCCCCCCACCCCTTTCCTTTCTGATATCAATAAAAATATATTTAAAAAAGCAAAAGGAAGGTGTGTTTTATCACTGAGAAGATTTACACCGATCAGCGAATGGTGGCACAGATACACACTGAGTGGCCAGATTACTATGCGTTCAGAGATCATAATAATCTGGCCACTCCGAGTGTGTGCCCCAGTGCGTGAATTCGTGCATGGGTGGGGTCTGGACAGCCTGGCCAGGGGGGTAGAGGGCACATGGGTGATTGGCTGGCCTGCCTGCTGGTCGAACTGGTCGAGGGGACAATTTGCATATTAGCCCTTTATTATATAGGATATACACTGAGTGGCCAGATTATTATGCGTTCAGAGATCATAATAATCTGGCCACTAAGTGTATAATCCATTGTAATGACAGACTGAATGTAAGCTGACAGGGAAGGAAGGGATGGCTGATGAATAAGGAACAGAATGGAGGCTTTCTGAAGTACAAGCAGTTAGAGATGATGATCATCGATGTCACCATAGGGGGTGAGCAGGTGGCTACATGGAGTGCAGGTTCCTGGAGGTGAGAATGTTGAGGAAGTGAGGAATGTTCTGGAGTGTTGGAAGGGGCCCAGAGATTACCAGTTACCCAGGTTGATGGTGGCAGGAGTTGGGTTGAAAGTAACGCTCTGAGCCCTGTGCTTCCATAAATGAGGAAAAGTGACAGGCATAGCAACAGTCTAAAGAGCAGGATTTTCCTCCCTCTTTATTTTTCTTGTTAAAAAATATTTTTATTGCCCTAACCCCATGGTCGGCAAACTGCGGCTCGAGAGCCACATGCGGCTCTTTGGCCCCTTGAGTGTAGCTCTTCCACAAAATACCACAGTCTGGGCCAGTCTATTTTGAAGAAGAGGTATTAGAAGTTTAAGTTTAGAAAGGTATTCTTTAAGAAGAGGAAGAAGAAAAAAGTAAAGATAAAAATTATGCTCAACAAATACGTATCTATCAAGTGAATCTAAAAATCAAGTGAATTAAAAATCTGAGGAACAGAATAAACTGGTGAATATAATAGAATCAGGGGCAAAGAAAGGGAGTGGATTGATAATTATCAGGGGGAAAGGGGCGTGGGGGGTGCGGGAAGAG